CCGACGAGCTCTCTCTCCATCACTCCCCGCCGCCGAACCCGCGCTGTTGGGGGGGGGTGGGCTCCCCTCGGAGAGCAAGTTTGCCCGTCGGGCTCCAAAGCATCGCGACCGGAGGATGAACCGGTGCCGTTTCCGAGCTCCCTCCCGGTACCTCGGAGCCGCTCTCCTTCCCCGTCCTCTGCCGGCTCCTGGAGCCATCCCTTCGGGGAAGGGAGAAGGGTGTAGAGCCCTGCGGGGCTGCGGAGAGGCCGGGAGAGTGGCGGTTTGGCTCGGAAGGTGGTTTGGGATCCGTGTGGAGGAGGGAGCTGAAGGGCAGAGGGAGAAACGCTGCCCCGGGTTTTCTGGTAACTTGGCGGGGGGAAGAGGGAGGCAGAGGTTTTTTCCGGCCTCTGCAGTGAGCCTTCGGGCTCTCCTGGAGCATCTCCCTTGGCCGAGGTGGTCCCCGGGGTTCTTCTGCTGCTTTGGTTCTGCTGGTTGAGCAAACGCCTCCCTCTCCGAGCGGTGCTGGCCCTGGGACCTCGGCTTCTCTCCAGCCAGGAGGCAATGCAGCAGTGGGGTGGCTGTCCCTGCTCTCTGCGCATCGGGACGTGGCCACCAACTGACCAGGCTTTGGTGCCAAGCTCGAAAACTGCACAAACAGTGGCCTTGCTTTTATGGGGTCTGTCTGTAAAAGAAGCCCGCTCTCCTTTGACTTCAGTGCCTGCTGTCCCACGAGCTCTGTCTTGGGGTGCTCTCCTCTCCTGGAGACCACAAGGTTAGCTCTGGAGTGATTCAGCAACACGTGGATGTTTGGGTGATCTTGGTCCTGGCAGTCTCCAGGTTGTCACCAGGCTGGGGCAGGTAGTTTGTTGCCCCTAGGACAGGACTGGAACGAGCCTCAGAGAGCTCCTGCCCCTTCTCAGTATGGACAGCCTGAAGCATGAGCTGTATTAGAGGATGGGAGGAGGGATGGGGCCTCCTCAAGAGATTTGGGATGTCTCTGTGCTGCTGTTTTGTACCAGGAGGTGCTGGTTTGTTACAAGTTCACTGCTATATGGCTCATTTCAGTGCACAATAGCCTTTTGATTGCAATCACTGCATCAAGCTGTCACCTCGGTGGAACCTCTCCCCTCTGCACCCCAAGTTTCTCTCCTAACCCATGAGTATCTGCTGGAAATACTTTATTCAGCATGGCAGTGAGTAAGACTCTTAGGGATCTGTAAAGATCTGAGTTTCCTTCCTGAGAACTGACTGATTCATGAATACCAGCAAATAGCATCTAATTCAGAGCAGACCAGGAGCTGGCAGGCGTAGCAGTCGCCTGCTGTCTTGGCTTGATAGTCTGGGATCCAAATGGAGTTGCTCCTTAGTATCTTGGGTAGGTAAGGTGGTTCCTTTTGCTTTTTATTAGCTAAGGTCAGCTTGGTGTGGGTGGCAGTGGAACCTCTTGGCTCAGCCAGCCTGTCTGGTGGCCATCCACCCTTGTGCTCATCAGCATCAGTCTGGGTCTCTGTAGATGGAGTGGCACGAGAAAATCAAGGCAGGCATGCTCTGAAGGCTGGAGATCTGCTGGGGAGGCTGTTCTGGGCTCTGGTCTTGCTTTGCTGCATTTCAGGCCCAGGGGCTCAAAAATCAAACAGCCGGGCTGAAATCTCAGCGCTGGCTTCTGTCTTTTCTCAGGTGCTGCAGCCTCGCCTCCAGACCCTCAGCCAAGTTGGGCTTGGGAGCAAGAGGTGCTTCACCCTTTCTGCCTGGCCTGCTAGAACTGGCTGCAGACCACGTTGCCTCCTCTGAAGGATGTGACTCCTCGGGGACAGGAATTTGAGCTCCATCAGCTGAAATTCCCAGGGTCTGGGACCCGCTGGCCTTGGCTGAGTGTAACCAGCAAACTCAAGGCCATTATGTCACATCCTCCTCACGGCTCAGTTTCCACGTACGTGGCTTGTGCTGCTGCCTGCGAGAAGATGGGAGGGAATTCTCTTAATTGTTTTCTGGCTTGAAAACAGGCTCCCACTGCTCCACAGTGGGAAGCACTGAGCCTGTGCAGAAAAGGAGATGCTTACATGGTCCAGTACATCTACGTTGCCAACCCACGCTAGGGCTGAGGCTGGCAGGAGGCTTTGTAAGCTGTCCATAACCATGGCACGGGCCATGCAGACTCTGTGAAAGGGATGAGGGTGCAGCTGGTGACCTCCCAGTTCGGAGAGTCACTCATGAGCAGTGCTTCAGCGGGCATCATTCCCTGGCTTGCCTATCGGTAAAGGATCTGCTTGCCTGTTTGGAGCCAGCAGACCCTACTGCTGGAGCCACTCGACCACGCTTCCTCATGTCATGGAGTCAGCTTTCCCTCCAGAAGCCAAGCAGTAGCTCCTGCTGGGTCTCACCAGACTCATCGCTCTCGTCTGACGTCAGGGCATTGCTGAGCGGTAACGACCCGTTCTGAGCTGGCCCCCTGCCACCTACTCGAGACACCATCACCTTGCCCAGCGGGCAGGTAAAGGGCACAATCCCTCTTCAAATAGCTGCTGGCCAAGGAGGATGCAGAGAAGGGAGCTCCCGGGCAAGTCTAGGAGCCAGGAACACGGAGATGCTCTGGTACGGGCTGTCACCAGTGACCTGAGCGCTCTTGTCTTGCCTGTTTACCTGTCTGAAAAATGAGCTGGGGACAGAGATGTCTGTCACGGGGGAGGCTGGAGAGAGATCAGGAATACCACGGTGATGGATGGTGCAGCTGAAGCTGTTAACTATCACTCTGCTGCCTGGAGAGGAGACTTCCTTCTTGCCTATGGGTAGCAGTTTGGCACTGCTTGTCCCATAAAATAGCGCTGGATGCGGCAGTAGCTCCTCTCCTATGTCCCCTGGGGGACACGGGGAAGGGGGAATTAGGACATGACCCACATTTCCAGTCCTTAGCAGAGGCAAAGGGCTCCTTTTGCTTAGATTTTGGTTGTCTTTGTGCTGGACTGTAGGAGCTGATGTCTAATCCCAGTGCAGCTGGAGACCTGCACGTTTTGCTGAGCATCTCAAGGCGTGAATTAGTTTCCATTTCTTGTTTTTTCCCTAACCTGGGAATTCAGCAGTTCCAAACCTAGTCGGGTCCTGACCCTTGCAACTTAAAGTGACCCAAACGTCAGCAGAGATGCCTCTAAATCCCTCCACCATGGAGTCCTGCTTGGAGCTGCTGCAAAATACTGAAGGCGAATGCTGAATTTGGAGATGTCTGCAGGAAAAGTTGGAATGTGTGCATGGGAGAGGGAGAAGATTGCATTCCCAGATAGGTACTGAGTGGGCTGGAGACCCTTTTATCTCTTTCAAGGGTGGGAATGTCCCAGTGCAGGCATTGAGGCTCTACCTCGTGCTCCCTCCTCTCAGCGAAAGCTCCTCTGGGGTGACTGGGAGCAACTTTGAGCTGAGTTTCCAAACAAAACTCCCCAGGAGTGATGGGGAGAGAGAGAGAGGCTTTAATTAGAAAAGACCTCCAGCCTTCTGTGCGCACCAGAGCCGATTGATTACAACCCACTGAGCTGCTGAAAGACACTGACTAGGTCAATGTGCTGAATGCCCTTCTTGCCTGAAGCCAGCACTCTCTCTGTGCTGTAGAGCTGGCAAACTGTGTGCCGTTTCCCCCCCCGTCCTCCCCACCCCCTTGCTGAGGCTCCACATCCTCTCTGGCAGCTTGTCACTTCTCTGCAGATGTCTAGACAGGAGGATTCAGTGCGTGTCAGTTATGCCTAATTCATTAAAAAAAAAAAAAAAGAAAAAGGAAAAAAAAAAGAAGGCAACCCAAACCCTTCGGAGAGCTGGGGATTCTCGGTCCTGCAGACTCAGCGCTGTCTGTGCTCGCCCTGCACTGCCTTCAGGCGAGCTCCGAGCAGATTAATTCCACCCATCCACAGGAGCAGCGCGCTCCTCGCCCTCCCATCCCCATCAGGGGGGCTTGGGGAACGGAAGGCAGATGTGTGGGCAAGGGGCAGTGCTGGCAGCAGGAGCCAGGAGAGGGGGTGAAGTGTTTGGGCTGAGGTGCCTGCTCCTAAACCTCTCCTTGGGGCTCACCCCCGCTGTGTGCTCTTGGCGTGCTCACGTCCCCCGCTGTGTCCGTTTGGGAGGTGGCAGAGGGGTGCAAGGTGTCAGGGTCCTCCTCGCCCTCCCATCCCCATCAGGGGGGCTTGGGGAACGGAAGGCAGATGTGTGGGCAAGGGGCAGTGCTGGCAGCAGGAGCCAGGAGAGGGGGTGAAGTGTTTGGGCTGAGGTGCCTGCTCCTAAACCTCTCCTTGGGGCTCACCCCCGCTGTGTGCTCTTGGCGTGCTCACGTCCCCCGCCGTGTCCGTTCGGGAGGTGGCAGAGGGGTGCAAGGTGTCGGGGTCCTCAATCTGGCCATCAGAAACTGCCTGCTTCTTAATTCTACCATGCCTCTTGCCGTGTTTAAGTCACATTTCCATCAACGTTTGCCATCCTGACCTCTGTGCAGGAGCAGCTGTAAATCAGCCAGCCCGGCGGCGATGCCTGGACCTGCAGTTCAGAGCAGCAGGTTCACTTGGTGGTCCTGAAATATGAGGTCCCTCTGCTTCCTCACAATTCCCAGCTTTTCTAGCCTGAACATGTAATTAACCTTACATTAAAAAGGCAGAATGTGAGCTGCCACACGCTGTCAGTGTCTGTTTGAATTCCCTGGATGCAGGTAACGTGTTACAGAAGCTGAGAAGGGACTGAACCCCAAAGTGTTGTATTCAGCACGTAGAATTTTCAATCTGTATCAGTGACGCCAATGGGACAGGTCCTGGTGGGGATAATTGCGTGGATTTAGTGCCTGTTTTGCATCTGAGTCCTGGACATACCCAGCTGGATGGTTTCCAACCCTTTTTGATTGTGTTTATTGCGGGGAAGGTAGGAGCGCTATATATTTTGTAATGGGCAGTGCCAGGCCCTCTGAA